CCAAAGATATCCCCCCTAACTTCTGGCCGTTCAATGCGAGGTCGCACGTGTTGCGCCTGTGCGAGCTAGCTCTGAACCGCCAGCATCGCGCCGGCGGGCAATCCCGCCGCCCGCAGGGACGCCATCAGAAATGACCTCGACAAGCACAGACACGCAGCCGAGATATCGACGAGCACGGTCACTGGGTCGAAGAGCGCCGTGGCGCTTCCTCTATCTCAGCGGCGCTCCTGATTATGCCCTGGCCAGCAATGACGCCGCACTGAGCGCCAGTGACAAGGGGCGCAATGGGCGGATCCCATCTCCAGCGAGAAGCCGCAGCGACGATGCGATTGTCGGCGTTGGTGATGGACAAAGGCCAAGTCTCCGTTGCCGCGTGGATTCGTTGTCCGATGTCCACGAGGGCCCAGCTTCGACGGGGCTTTCGGGGGGCAGTCCATCAAAGCCTCGTTCCAGCCAGAATGGGCGAGACGCTCAGGCTGAAGGAAGTCTTCCACTTGGCGCGCCACTCCGAAGAGCGTCTCGAGCCCCAGATTCCCGGAGCGTCTCCACACCGAGACCGGTGTCCCATCGGGCCCCGGGCGGCCAGAGAGGCGGAGAGCCCGTGCGACATCTCGTCGGCGCATCCGCCACTGACTCGTGGCAACGGCGATTTCCTTGGCCCCAGCCGCGTGCACCAAGTGGAACCCATGTTCCAAACTAGCGTCGCCCTGCCCCGCGGGGCCCAAGACCTTGGCCCAGTGCTCTTGCAACAGATGAGCTACGCGGTGAAGTTTCGTGGTGGGCTCTTGTTCCGGGCCCTCCATGGCCTGGACACTGGCGGTATGCATGCGTCGAAAAGAAGACGTGCAGGTTTGCCCTGGATGGGGCTCCTGCGGGAGCGGGCCGCCAAGGCTCAACGCCGTGCCACTGCTCGAAATCTTCCCTCATATCGGACTTAAGTTCGTTCTTGGTCAACGCGGATGTTTGCTTGTCCTGGACTCGTCGCAATGCCGCTAGAATCCTCATCCCGCTGTGCTCCAAATCCAAATCCCGAACCCAATGCGGCGGGAGCGAGTCCTCGAGAGTTAGAGTAGCCGGTGAGCGTTGCGGATGGCCGAACAAACGCGGATGGCCGTAGCTGGTGTGGCTGCGTCGGAGCAACCCTCCAGGTAGTCGCGGCTGGCTTTGTTTCAATCATAGTGTTGGTCACCTCCCGCATGGCGTTCTGGGTCATCTCAGTGGGGCCCAGGGTTGAGTACTCGGCGTAATCAGGATGGCGCACCAGGTGAAGGGGTTATGGCGAGCTGCGACAGATCCTGAAGTGGCAGTCTCCCGCCGAAGGACAAAACCGCGTGGTCCGAGATTGCAGCCTCGGAGCCAAGCCGCGTGATGAGGAGCGCGCCGTCGAACAAGTCCGCGTCGTGGTGATTCGTCAAGATGCGGTCCAATCACGCCGAAAAAGAAAACGTACAGCGTGTGTGTGTGTGTGATGTTCCTGGAAGAGCTCACGGAACCCAGCGCGTTTCAGAACATTGCGCTGCCAGAACGTCGCCACTGCCGCATCGCGGTGGCCCATGTGAGCCAGGTCCCGCGCGTAATAGCGGTCCTCGTCCTGCTCGACGTAATCCTACTCGCCACCATGTATGTGTAGGGCGTCTGGGTGTCCATCGAGCCATGCCGCCATCTTCCTCGCAACCCGCTCACGTTCCGAAGCCGCCTGGCCAATGGGGAAATTAACGTTGAACAGATTGATATCTCGTTCTGGGCCTTGTAGTCGAAGAAGGCCCCCACCCTGTCCGACTCCAGCTCGAACCAGACCGTCGGCGAGAGCGCGCTGAAGTGTTTCAAGAAAATGTGTTGCACCAGGGTCATCAAGCCGCCTTCACGCCGGCTCCCGCGGGCCCAAAACGGCGTTGTTCCAGGAGGCTGAACAGCACTGGCTATACCCTTCGTCCCGTGCACTTTTTGTAGGACAGGGAAATCACGGTTACCAATCAAACTCACCATCTGCGTTCGTTTACGCGCCTGTATTTCCAAGTCATATGCAAGAAGGCAGCGCGCATTCTAGCATGCTCCCCGGTAGCCACCACCGAAAGGCAATCGTACGTGAAACGACGAGCGAGAGCAAGACCTCCTCGAAGCCACAGTCCAACATGGGCAGCCGTCCCGGTCCGACGGAAGGGGCGTAGGCGGCAGTAGTCGTGGAGGACCAGCTGGAGCTGGGGAGCGAGGTGTAAGCCCGTCCCCCAGCTACCGCCCCCAGGTCCCCGGTAGCAAAAAATCGCGCAGTGAATTGCGAGATCCCCACCAGGGTCGAAGGAACCCATCCCCGAGGCTCGTGGAGACCCTGCTCATCTCGCAGATCCTCGGGCCTGGAGCGAGAGACCTGAGGCGCAGCCCACGGGCTGTCGGCGACGCCCGCGCAGCCCGGGCGGCCCGCCCCGCGCTCCGGCGATGACCCCCCGAGCTCGGACCGTGCCTGGCCGTCTAGGGCCCCATGCCCGGATACCTGCTCGGCCTTTTGGCTATGGTCAGGTGTAGTATCTGTTCCTGGCCGTCGAGACTTGCAGGTGCGTGCATTCGTGACGGAGGTCCACTCCCAGGCGCGTAGTGCCGCCCGCACCTGGTCTGCAGCAGTCGTTGAGGCGGGACGTCGGCGCGAACGCCTCTTCCGAGGACGAAGGGGACGACCACGGTACCCCCGTCCCTCCTGCCGAAGGGGTTCGGGTTCGGCGTCAGAGAGTGGCGAGATGGTCGTGTACCTAGCGCCTGGGCTGCGTACTGGATGCCGGTCCACTCCTCTACGTCGTTGGCCAGGATCGTGAGCCAGGAATCAGGGGTCCTCCGTGGTCTCCCTTGATCTGGACGTGGATCTCCGTGCGCGATGGGACTGCAACCTCCCCCCAATTACCTAGCATTGCTGCCTGCTGTCGCGGATTGAGAGCCTACGGCAAAACCAACTCCTGTCCGCCCCGCGCGCTCGCCCTCCAAGTGATACAGAGTATGCGTGCTCCTCCTCCCTTGTTTTTCTGCGTCAGCGTGCGTTCCCACGTCTCCCGCGGGGTCGTCGTAATCGTGGCCCCGCGCTCCGTGGACAGAAGCACTCACTGGTCCAAAGATTTGGTCTCGCAGGTAACCGCATCCCCAGCGTGGACATCGATGATGAGCGCCCCAGGGTCGTTGAGGAGCTGCGTGTGTCCTATGATCACGTTGGGGAAGGCCCGCAGATTCTGTCGAAGACCACGGAGAAGCATCGTGATCTGTAATGGTGAGGTCGTCGACATGCATCCGCAAATTCGCCGGCCCAACGGGCCAGCGTCGTGCTAAGATCTCCAGTAACTGGTCCACAATATTTCTAGTTCGCGCGCGGGGCGGCCCCTGGGGGTCCCTGGACGAAATGTACCCCGGCAAAGTTCCAGCAGACTCCTGGCAAGGTCACGGCAGACTCCCGGAAAGGTCTGCACAAGGATGCCGGAACTCCCCGGGGTGGTTCCCCCCACCCTCAGAGCGCTCCAAGAGGGCCTCAAGAGGCCCCCAAGATGGTCCTAGAAAGCTCCGAGTCGCCGACAGATCGGTCCACGACGCCCAGGATCGCGTCCACGCGGCCGCAGACGCCTCGAAGACGCCTACGGACGCCTCCAAGAAGCGTCTCCTGACAGCCCCAGGACACACAAATCATTGATTTTCCTGAGTTTTTGAAGGATGTTGGCGTTCTCACCTGTTCGGCTTCCCGACGCTCCAGGACAGCCCAAGAGGCCCTCAACATCGCCCCCAGACGGCCCAAGTTGGCCCCAAGACGGCCCAACAGGCCTCCAAGACAGCCCAAGATGGCCCCCAGGACTGCCCCAAGAGGGAGCCCAGACAGGGAACCCGGACATTTCGAGCCCAGCCTCTAAAATCGATCCAAGACAGCCCAAGAGACCTCCAAGAGGGCCTCAAAGCAGCCCAATAGGGCCGCAAGACGGTCCCAAAAGGCCCAATAGCCCTCCAAGACCGCCTCGGAAAGCCTCCCAAGAGGCCCCCCAAGAGCTCCCAAAAAACTCCCGAGAGCTCCAGACATTTACAGCCGGACTCTCCCAGGAGATCCCCACAGGCCCCCAAGAGCTCTCGAAGAGGCGCCAAAGCAGGACGAGGAGCTCCACGAAGCTTCCAGGAAACTCCAAGAGGCTCCCAAGCAGGAGTAGGAACTAAGAACGTATTCTATATGGCCCCCAAGAAGCCCCCAAGAGGCCCCCGAGACGCCCCAGGACCCCCCCAAGAGGCCCCCAAGAGGCCCACATCACGCCCCAAGAGGTCCCAGAAATACCGATTGTCTTCACCTGTCTGCCAGCCGAGGCGGACAGCGGTTCGCACTCAAGAAGTGCGAACCCCTGAGTGCAAGCACTGTTCTGGGAACCGAGTGATAGAGGAAGGAGCGAGAGAGAGAGAGAGAAAAAAAAAGAGAGAGAGAGAGACAGACACACAAAAAATGATAGAGAAAGAGGAAGAGAACTGACATCCCGAGATACTGGGATGCACAAGGTATTGACACCCTTGGACCTTCGGGGGCCCACGGATTCGCCGCACTCCCACCGCTGGCGGTCCTGGGGCATCGACCGCCCAGGCGACGGGGATTTGTACAGGCGGTCTGGCCTCGGAAACTCCGAGCCCTGCGCGAGAGGTTGAGCAGGGACCAACCGTCCCAGCAGTCCCATTGATTCCTGCCGCGACATGTTCTTAGAACCCCCCAAAAACGTTCTGATGAAGAAAACCATGACCTTAGAGCACAAGCCCGATGCGCCAACACGAGACAGTCTCAGCCATGGATGCTCTGAGAACATTCCTTGCAGACCACGCAAGGCTCTTAGAGCATCCCTTGGCGGGCCCATCTGCGAGCCAGGACGCTTCGCCCCTGCTCGAAGAGGCACGGGGTCGCACCCAGCGAGGTCCGCGCCTGCCCTGCGCTCCCACGGGGGCCGCGGCTGCAAGTGGAGAGACTTGTGGCGGCGCCCCTGCGGAGCGCGGGCACGACGGGCCGACGCTCACCCTGCGCAGCCGCGCCGCAGCAACAGCTGCGCCTTCGAGCGCGCCGTTCCGAAACGCATTATTCGGCACAGGCCGCGGCGGCGCGGACAGCGAGTCCTGTTCAAAATGAACAGGATCTGCTCCGCGCGGCATTGTACCCCTTCTTTCCGTACCCATGTCGTCCGCGCCGAACCGGCGCGCTGGCACCCGCCTCCGCGCGCGCGCGCCCGCCCGGGCTCAGCGGGCGGCGAGCCAGCCGGAGGCGCCCGCGAGGAGCTCCTGCGGGGCGATCGCGGCCTCTTCGCCCGCTCCCCTGCCGCACGCCCCGGCGATCGGCGGTGGACAAACCTCCCTTTCGTAAGCCACCCTTTCTAGTGAAAACGGCCTAGGACCGAAACCGACGGACCTGGACCCGCAACAATGACGGCCGCGCCGCCTTCCCGCGGACCGAGAACGGCCAATTCTCTAATGGGCGTGTCAGGGTAGGAGGTCGATCAACCTTCGAGACGAGAGGCTGAGGGGGCAGGTTCGGGGAGGCCTTCGTCAGAACGAAGGGCCTGGGACAACCAAACACGTGATCCAGAGAATCATAACCACACCGGCCCTCAGCCTCTCTGGGCGCAGGTGATCTAACGAGGACTTCCTCCCCATTCGGGGAGGTTTGCACCCCTCCCCCTACCCCCTCCCCTGGACCTGGAGCGTCCAAGGTCGGCCCCTGGGAGGGCCAATTGTTGACACCCCTCACGAGGATCGTGGCCCCCGAGGGGGGGACCTCGATCGAGTGAATCCCTCCTTTGACCGATAGCCTCGGAGATGGCCCCAAGAGGCGCTCCAGGGCTCCCAAGAGAGCCCCAAAAGAGCCCCAAGAGGGCTCCAAGAGGGTCCCAAGAGGCCTCCAAGATGGCTCAGATAGCCCAAGCTGGCTAAAGATGGCTCCAAACATGCTCCAAACGGCTCAAAAACCGCCCCAAGAGCGCCCAAGAGCGCTCCAAGAGAGTCCCAAGAAGCACTTTGCCGGCTCCTGAGGGGGGAGCTGAGTTGGGGACCCCCCCATCCTGTAATCGGTGGCCTCCAATATGATCCCAAGAAGCCTTTGAGGGTTACCAAGAGGGTTCCAAGAGAGCCCCCAAAACTCCCAAAGAGCACCAGCAGCAGCAGCAGCAGCAGCCGCAAGAATACCACGCGGCACCCAAGGATGGCCCGAAGAGGCATTCGAAGGCCAGCCCTTGCTCGCGTTGTTTCCCTAGACGTGTCTCTTCGTCCCTTTTCTCGTCAGCTCTGACGGGCAGGGTTTCTGAATGGGCTGGTGGGGATACTTTTTTGATTTGCGGCCCAAAGGACGATTCCAGCGGGCGGGTCAACTGGTGGGGATACGCGAAGCGTGAATAACTTACGAAATCTAGGCCAGTTCCCCAGATGCTTCTTAGAACGAGCCTGGGCCACTTTCTGCTCTTCATGCTGAAGGGGTGAACGTGCTCAAGAAATTGGGCCAGCTTTCTGGCAGGAATGTGAAGAAACGCTGGCCCAGGTTTGAAGGGGCAGGTTTCTTAATCAGACGCTCGACTGTAAGACAGGAACCTTTCAGCCAAATCATCCCAGATTAAATGGGGGATGAAGCCGCATGGAGCCATTTTGGCTCAAGCCATTTTTGCTCAAGGGTCAAAGCTCAAGCGACATATCCGATAACTTACATCCAACTCTTACTCCACACTACGCTCACTATCAGTTATGACTATTGCTTCTCTCTCTATCTGATCATGGTGCGCGATGGCGACGGCAACGGAGCGAAGGCAGCACACTCGGCAGCCTGGGACCCGATTAGGTAAGGCTCTGGAGCGTGATGTCCGGCAGCGCTTGTTCAGCCCATTGCACGAGATGGATGGAGCGCGCGAGCTTTCTCCGCCTCGGCAGGCTGAGCAGCATACGGTCGCAACGCCGAGCACACCGCAGGATGCAGCACGTGGAGCGCAAGCGCAGCCACAGCAGCAGCAGCAGCAGCAGCAAGCACCTACGCTCCAGGATATAGCGGCCCTCTTGAAGCAAGAAATCCAACCACTGAGGAGCGCGGTAGCTGGCTTGGAGCGCGAGCTCGGTGGGACGATCGAGGCGCGGATAGCAGCCTCCGAAGCACACCTAGAAGATTTGGGAATTCGCCTCACGAATCTGGAGAACTCGGAGGGCTCGTGCGCAGGCTCCCGGGCAGAGGCAGAGGTCTGCGATCAGAACAAGGCTCTGGAGACGGAGGTTGCTATGCTCAGAAGCGCGACCAGCCAGAACAGGAACTCCAGCGGCCCTCCGAACCAGCTAAATCCTACGGCCGTTTTGGGGGGCCTTCCGTGGTGCCAATCATCAAGACGAGCTCGACAAGTGGATTCCGCTTGTTCTGGCAGATGCGAAGGCTGCTCCGCCAGTTCAGACTTACACCGAAAGCGAATTCTCTTCGTTCGATGGGGTGAAATTTGGCAAATACTCATCTGCAGTCGAGCGGGACGCTGCGGCAGAAGCCGACCGCAAAACTTCGGTAGAATACGGCGGGCAGAAAGAGTGGGCCAAGCCGGAGCAGCCTCTCGAAACAAGGGCGTTGCAGAGCGTCTTCTTCGGAGTCAAGGAGATGTTGGTCGATTGAGGCTTTGACAAGAAAAGCCTCTGGGCGGATACCTCAAACATGAGTTTGTCGTGCGGAAGCGACCTCGTAATCACTATGAGTATGGCGTGGATTGGGAGATTTATTCTGCCAGACGGTACGAACAAGACCATCAAAGACCAGCTCGACGCGGCGAGGGAGAAGCTACAGCGAAGCTCTGCTCCAGGCCAGGACCTCGGCAAAGGCAAGGGAAAGCGCTCCTTTCAGGATCTACCCCGATCGGTCGCGAACCCGTCCAATCTAGAACGTCTTCGGCAGCCTCTTTGGACCTTCTGCACAAATTCAAGGATCAGTTCTCCCAAGAGGCTGATTAATTGACTTGCGGAACTTGATGTGGTGAAGTGGAAGATTGATTGTTTTTGCGGGACAAAGGCCGCAGAATCGGATGATACACTTCATGGAGGCCACCGCCTGATATCCGGATTGGGCGAAGCGGCCATACAGGTACCGCTGTCCTCTTGCATGCAGATCTCGCTGGCGAAGTCAGCAGAGTTCGTCTACAGTCTGGGAGGATCGCTGCAGTTGACATTGACGACCTTTGGGATACAGCTTTCGGATTTTCGCCGTTTACGCTCCTCACCTTGGTTACGGCCACGCTTGTCTACTCGATCTCTACGCGGAGCTGCAAAATCTTGTGGCTGAAGCCGCGCGTTCTGACAGGAAGGTTTTGATTGGTGGAGACCTTAACACGCAACTCCGACTAGGTCTACGCAATGACCTGCTTTGTGGGTTCGCTTCAAAGCACAAGCTGACCATCACGACTGACGATAAGAACATTCCATGGACAGATAAACGAACTTTCGAGAGCACAGTGGGGAAACGACGGCAATCTGATTACATTCTCGTCGACAACACTTTCTGCTTCAGTGCGGCCGAGACTACAAACCAGCTTGATCTTGGTTCGGATCACTGGAGCGTTGTCTCAAGCATTGATATCATGGGGCCGCTTGCGGAGAGACCCGCTCGACCGAGACGAGCAACATGGGGAGGGTCTTCGCAGTATCAAGAATAAGTAGTGTCCATGCTGGGCGCTTGTCCTAGCCAGACAATTCAAAATCTACAGAGGGTGGTGGTTGATGCGTCATGCGTGTCTGAGGCGATGGAGCCTCCCCAGACATGCCGCGGGCAATGGCACAACGATGACCTTCAAGAACCACGGCGCCAACGCCGGCAGTGCTTGGACACTGCCGAAAGACGCCGGTTGTCCAACAAGAGATAGGCGGCGGCACGAGAGAAGCACTCCGGGAGTGGCAGACGGAGAAAATCTGTGCGCGACTCGAAGAGGCCCAGGACAGAAGAATTAGAAATGAAAGGGTCTTGGCCCCCCAGAACATCGCAGAATGTTCGAAGAATGAGACATGAACCACGTGTGCGGCATTCTCCGCGGAGCCTGTGAAGGGCAGAACTGCGCTGCGACCTGACCCGCAGGTTTCAGCGACCATGCGGCAGAACGCCCATACCCGTCGGAGGCCCACGCGCCACCGCCTGCCGAAGGACACGTCGCAGCTGCAGAGGGCACACCAGACATCACGCCATGAGGAGCTGCGGGCAGCTCTCAGATCGATGGCTGGCAGGCGACGTGCTGACGAGCGTGGTGTTCTGCTGGACATGCTTCGCCGTGCTGGCCCGCTGGCCCACTCAGTCCTGCCCGCATGCCTGAACGACGTCGTACACACGGGTGCTCTCGCCCGCGACTGGAGGGAGCTGTTGCACGTCATGATTCCCAAGGTTGGCAGCGCTCGGGACCCTAATAAGTGGAGGCCGCTTGCCGTCTTGGGTGTTGCATACAAGGTCCCCGCCAGAATCTTGCACGACCGCCTCAAAGACACCCTGGAGCCCCGCCAGCCTCCAGAGCAGCTGGAAGTTCAAGCCGCCACTGGGACAGAACATGCACTTTTGATACTTGAAAACGTTATGGAGAAACCACTTCAATCTGATTCGCAAATATGGGTTGTGACCACCGGTTTGGCCAAGGCCTTCGAACGGATAGAACACCCTGCTCTATTCGCTGCCATGTCAGAGCAAGGGTTTCCTGTCGAGCACCGCACACACTGCTGCAATATTTGTACGCAGCTCAACGCGGCGTGGTGGACAGCTGTCAGCTCGACAGTGAAAGCGGGGTCGGACAGGGTGATGTGATTAGTCTCTAGTTGGGCCTGTCCCCCATACAGGGGGATTGTGGGCGAAAATTCAAATTATTCCAGTGCGACCCTACTAGGAGTTGGAGCCTCTAGGAAGGCAACATTCGTAGGAGCGGTAAACGCCGTCCTCCTCTTTCTCCTCATCGCCGTAGTAGTAGTAGTAGTAGTAGTAGTAGTAGTAGTAGTAGTAGCAGTAGTAGTAGTAGTAGTAGTAGTAGTAGTAGTAGTAGTAGTAGTAGTAGTAGTAGTAGTAGTGGTAGTAGTAGTAGTAGTAGTAGTAGTCGTAGTAGTAGTAGTAGTAGTAGTAGTAGTAGTAGTAGTAGTAGTAGTAGTAGCAGTAGTAGTAGTAGTAGCAGTAGTAGCAGTAGTAGTAGTAGTAGTAGTAGTAGTAGTAGTAGTAGTAGTAGTAGTAGTAGTAGTAGTAGCGCCAGAACCGCCGACGCCACGCCGTAAGTGAAGCAGCAGCAGAAGCAGGCAGCAAGTCGCCGAGA